CTTCAGAAGCTCCTTGTGAAGCATGTTAAGAAGGGAAAAATATTTCAAAAACTTCCTTTTAAGCACGAATGTTGTTTTTACCTCTAGAATATTAGAACTTCTGCATTGATTTGTTTGACCAGTGACAACTGCGTCTTTCAATAAAAAGAAGTATTTAATAGTCACTATTAACAACTACTACAAATAATCTTGGGCAAAGTTTATGCGACACAAGGATGAGTCACATTCTGTGTTCATCACTTTCTACAATTAAGTGCAATCTGGGATAAATCTCATTGTTGTTAAAAGTTGAAGTGATCAAGATAGAGAAAATTTGCTAATAAGCTGCTTGATAAGAATGGCTCTTCCCATGATTTCTCTTCCTCTAGAATCCCTCGAACAAATGGTAATGCATAGAAGGTGAATAGGACACTGCTAAGAATCGACTAGGACCATGATCATTGAAACTTATGACAAAGCACTTCTGAGTAAAAGTTGTAAACACAATGTGTTTCATTCAGAACAATGTCTCTCTAAAGACTTGCTCTAAACAAGACTCACTATGAATTGTGAAAGAACAAGAAGCCTAACATTTGTTTCTTCTCATTCCTTTGAATGTTATTGTCATTATGACCACTAAAGAAAATCTTATATTAGTTATTTCTAAAACCTTTATTTGTATCAATTTAAGGACATACTGAACAGTCATAAGGCTACAGAATATTCAATAATGATACACTCAACATTAAAGAACCAATCTATGATAGATTTAACAATAAGCATGACCTTGAAGTGTCAAAGCTAGTTGAAATATTTTGTAGGTCTGGTTATTAACATCTCAATAACAAAAGATATTAAATTTTTAGTATAAGTAAGAAAAGTCAAGTCTTGAAACAAATTCTCATTCAGAAGCCGAAAAAGCTTAAGAAAAAGTTCATCTCTCACCGAAGGACTGTTTGTGGCAAAAATGATGACATTTGAGATGAAAATTTCTCTTTCAGCGTAAAGCTATCCAAATGAATGAAACTTTAAGGTATGCATTTTTCCAATAGTTAGTTTCTAGGTTATGATACTTTAATCTAATAAAGATTTCATATAAGAAATGTTCTTGTTCAAAATGTTCTCTTAAGAATGGTTTTTGTCCGTTAGAAAATAAAGGGCTTACCTCATCAAAAGTGTTGTTTGTTGAAATGAAAAGTTGTTGATTAAATCGTTAGACATCTGTCTTTGCTTAAACCAAGCTTATCATTTAATGCAATGCCTTGGGTAATGGGATTGTCTCGATATTAAGTTTAAATTATTACATCTTATCCTTGTCAAATTGTTTCACTTTTCTAGGCTTCTCTCATCATTGCTAAAAAAATTCTTTATAAACTCACTTACTCCACCTGTCACACCACCTCGGCAATATCCCTTCTCTTTACTTCCAAAAATTCAATAAATCATCCTTAATCACTCTCATATATGGAAAACTACCTCTCTGATGCTCAACACATGCTTCTACAACAACATCAATTGGGAGAAGATCATGGCAGTAGTGTACCATAAACTACTATGGCCTTGCTGATTGAACATTTGCATGTGATTATCAAACTGATAGTAGACTTCGACAATAGTGTTGTGTAAGAACAAGAAGTGTTTCTACACATGGCTTTAATATTTTGATAATAACTTTAAATGATATCATAAAGAACAATTGTATACTCTAATGATTTCGTTCTAGTGTGTAGATGCTGCTATAATGTTTTAACTTTGGTATCAAGGCGTGTGACGCAATCAGGTTCTGAACATAAACACTATTGGAAGAAAACATTTGGTTATGTGTTATAGTTAAAATCAAGATTATGGAATTCGTCTTATGCAACAGTTCTTAGGAATATTAGTACAAAAGGTTATGATTGTGACTTTATGGTTAATCTTTGGAGGCCTTCTGAATCCTTGCTTCTATGTGTTCCAAGTTCTGAAGATTATGAAGACGAGGTTCTACTGAACAAGTTATAAAGATCTGAAGAAAAACAAGTTCTTACAACCAAGTGCTGAAGACTCTGATGACAAGGTTCTAATGGGACAAGTTCTGAAGGCTCTAACACTTAGGTTTTAAGACTTAAGAGTGATTCTTCTACAACAAGCTTCAAATATTCAAATTATCTGAAGCCTTTGAAGATTAGAAGAAGTTCAAAATGGTTAACATGTATAAAAAGTGCTATGTGACCTCTACCCTCTTGGGTAGCGTAAGGACAGTCCTTTTATACTGTATTGTCAGCCACTTTCATTATGACCATTAGGAACAACCAGTTGGATTTTTTATTATCTTTCTACCCCTTCAACAGATTTCTTTTACAAGCTATAAAAGGAAGACTTCGAAGCTGAAGAAAAGTAATAATCAACATTACAACAAAAAATATATCAGATTAAATCAAGCTCAAACAAAACTACACCAAAGAATTATGAAACTCTTTAGAGAAATCTTTTGTGTATAGTTTTGTAAATAAGCAAGGAGTTTTTGTTCATATCTTGGTGTAACACTTAGGTGTTTTTCTTTGTACTATAACATTTGTGTAATCTGCTTAAAAGAAGAAAACTATAATACACTGAAAGTATTCAACAATTGTTGATTTATTCCTTGAGTGGCCAAGTGAATGTCTGATCTCAAAAAGACTCTTGCTACGGCTCGAGTGGATTTGCAATAAGGATTGACTGACTTATTGGGGGTGCCAATAAGGTTGACCTGACTTATTATGGATTTTCTGTAATCAGTTTGGCTATAGTGAATTAAGTCTTTGTTGAAGGAAAATCACCTTGAGGGATGGACTGGAGTAGCTTAGTTAACAGTGAACCAGGATAAAAATAATTGTGTTCATTTATTTTTATGTTCTAAGTTAACTTAGTTTTTCATCAAAGAAAAGATTTAAAATTATTTTTGGTGAAATCCAATTCAAACCCCCTTTCTTATGTTTCTCCCACCTACAATTGGCAATAGAGCTCCAGTTCAGATAAAGATCCAGACGAGTTTTTTTTGAAGAAACACAGTGGTTGAACCCACACCAACTAATGCTACTTCAGATTCAAACAATAAAAGATACAATGGAAAACCTCCCATCTTTGATGGTGAAAAGTTTGAATACTGGAAAGATCGACTAGAAATCTTCTTTCTAGGTTATGATGTTGATCTTTAGGATATGGTAGTTGATGGCTACATACCTCTAACATATGCTACTAGAAAAGAGATAATTAAGAGAGCTATGACTGATCAACAAAAGAAATAATATAAGAATCATCATAAAGCAAGAACTTGCTGAATGCGATTTCTTATACTGAATATGAGGAACGTCACAAATAAAGACTCTACTAAGTCTATATTTGACTTTCCTTAAAATGACTCATGAAGGAAATGATAAAGTCAAAGAAAACCAAGGTGCTGGCCTTGATTCAGAAATATGAAGCCTTCAAGATGGAGGATGATGAACGTGTTAAAGTCATGTTCATAAGATTTCAAACCTTGGTTGCTGAACTGAGAATTCTGAACAAAGGCTATTTAACGGCGATCATGTGAAGAAGATTATCAAAGCTTGCCATCCAAATGGAGGCCTATAGTAACTACACTCAAGCTTGAAAAGGATCTAAACAACACTTCTCTAGAAGAACTGATAAGTTCTTTTAAGAAGTCACGAGATTAAGCTAGAACAAGAGAACCATAGAAGAAGATAAAATCTATTGCGCTCAATTCCATCAAGAAATCTGAGAAGTCCTAATCTCTTAAAGTATAAGAGATAGTGAATTCATAAGAAGAACTTGATGATGAATAAGATGAGTTGTCTCTACTGTCCGGAAGGGTTAATTGTCCAGAAGTCAAGGAGATACTGGAGGACACTTCGAATCAACTTCTGGTCAAAATAAGTCTAGTGGCAGTGAAGTCATTCATTATGAGTGCAATGAGCTAGGATACTACAAGAAAGAATGTTGTTAGATGAAGACAATGATATCTAGAGGGGGGGGGGGGGGGGGGGGGGGTGAATAGATACCCATTTAAAAAAGTATCCAAATAAAATTTGGTTTTAAATTTTTATTTTATCAAAGTACGACGCAGAAGCTTTTTCAAATTCTCGTCTATACGAACATTATTGGGAAGCTCGGATATGTAAACCGTAAATTAAAAATGATATGGAATGAGAATGATAATGTGAATAATAACCTTGAATCACTTGCAAATTATTTATCGTTTAATCAATTTCACTTAGCAAGGCTATTCCAATGATAATATTAAAAGAACTAGTTTAGTCAATTTATCAAACACTTGGTGTGCAAGTGAATTTCAGAATTTTTTCTTTGATTGTTATGATACACAAAACCAATTATAATAAAAGTGATTATAAGCTATATCAACACTTGAATTAAAGATCAAAATTGATTATGAAAAATCTTACAATTCAAATGATAATGCAATGCTAATTTGATAAATCGAACAATGAATATTAAAGCAAGTAAAAGCAAAAATAAAAGTGACACGAGGAATTTGTCTTCACATTTCCCCACTGTCGTCCTTGCGTGTGGGTATGTCTACACCTAATTTCAATGGAATTAGGATAATTCTTACTATGCAAAATTCTTGATACAAGAGAAGTGTTCAAGAGCAACTCCATAATCCCTAAGCATCTTGTTGATTCAACCCTTCTCCACTTTTGAAATGAGAGAGACCAAAAACACAATAGATGAAAAATTACTATTTGGATCTTACTACTCATTTGTGTTCTTTATCTCCAAAGATTTCGTGCACCATCAATTTCAAACTATTGCAACACAAGACTTTGATTCTATCTGGTACTCTAAGTTACTTCCTTGCAAATATTTCAAACACTCCAAGGTTCCTTGCATATATTTA